TCTCTCTCTCTCTTTCTCTGTGTTCAGTATATATTTAAAGTAGTGCCCTAAGTTTTTAACCTCTAAAATTAAGTTGGTATTGCAAAACAGTTAAAGGATAAGAGGGAATAATCACCTGATTAACTGTTAATAAGGATACCCTAATAGGATTTTGGTTATCTGACCCTAATACCAAAAATGCCCTACTTCTGGATGAATCACCTGGTTTAAATTTTTAGCATGGCTATGAGACGGATCAAAACTATTTATATTGAAATTCATCCATTACATATGTCAATGGTCCCCTTTAAAGTTGGAATGTAATCCAAAGTTGGAGAAATTCAATGAACAGAAATTACTAGCTAGATGATATACGACTAAAAAGGTGTTGCCGATGGATGTTTGGGAGACTGATCTTCCAAGCTAAAATAGGTGATGTAATTAAAGACACTTTCACTCTCTTTTGACTTGAGAATGTACGTAGATCTTTTATTAGTGAATATTTACATATAATATGTTATTTATCCGGGTAAAAATTTCCTAGGAAAGACTTAAGTTATTTGGATAAATGCATTTAYCCATATTTTTTCATTTCTCATTTCAAGAAAGAGAGAAAAGGAAACAATGGAGGGATGGATCTTTATCGGACCTAAATGAGAATGACATGAAAAGCCTTTTTCAAAACCTATCATTAAGGGGAAGATCTGTTTATGAAATAGTTCAAGAAAGACTCGTCTCATTTCCTTGCTTGTTCATTCACTTCAAGGCTGGTTCTGAACRCCGCGTAACATCATCTTCAACCAACCTCCACGGTACGCACGTACCTTGTAGCCACAAAAGAATTGCTTATACAATAAACAGCTGCTTGCTTATATACGTTTACTAAAACACTAGCTTTCATTAGGCTAGCATGAAACTAAAAAAGAGAGATATGCCTAAGGCGGCATATGCAAGCAAACTGTACACGCTAAGAAAAGAGGCGCAAAGAAAGCCRCTCTGCCGGCTTGTCACTTCGTTTGTACCTTCTTGGCTTAGGCTAGCAATTGAACTGACTTTATGTCCTTGCCGCCCGACCACTAGAAGAAGCTAAGCGCTTGAAGGGCAAACTAAAGAAATGTTGCTTCTGTCGACCTTTCTGTGCAACAGTCCACCGGTACGTAGTGGAAGAGAGGGTTACAGCAGTACATATAAGAGTCTTCCAGTTCTTACTACTGCTCTTTCTTACCAATCAAGTAGTACAACAACTGTATCTTATCTTATAGCCCGGCGCGGCGGGTCGCCTTTTGAATTCAGTAGATAGAAGAAACAATTATACTACATCCATTCTTTTTATATTAGGAGTGGAGATCACATTAATTTTATCTATTTTATTTCTCACAAAATAAGGCAAAATCAAATCTGAAGAACAAAACCGCAAATTAACAAACTGAGCTGATGTTCAAAAAACATTATTTTTGTTGGAGAAAACCATATCATTTAGCCATCCTACTCAGTCCAAGCCAAAGCATGATCTGTGTATGTGTGTGTTCTATGTGAATCTCTGAATAAATTATAACTAGTTCATCGTAGTTGTACTAACTGGCTTGCTGTAACACTCTAGGTTGGTGACTGACATTCCTGTAGGAACCGATGCAACTTTTGGTAAGTTAAAACAAGAAGCAAATTTTTACATTCATGCATTTACAAGCTTAAATGTTCATATCACAGGAGATGTTTTCACATAATTCCCCTAAAAACCCGAAGTAGGTTTTGACTATATATATATATATAATAAGGAAGTATTTGTTTTTCGGGTCATTTATTAAAACATCCTTTATAGGGGATGTTTTGACCTAATTCCCCTTATAGGGTAAGTTTAAGTAAATCTGTAAAACTATAGGGGGTGTTCTAATAAATGACCCTTATTTTTATTCCTGACATTTTTATAAACAACCAATAGATACTTCAATTAGCTGCTAATTCCCATTTATATATTCTCCTTTCCAAAATCAAGTTCATTATTTTCTCCTAAATTATCTCTAATTCCTATTTATCCTTTCCCTTCACTAAAGTCCAACCATTTATACGTCTAATTTATAGGAACTTCTAAATTAATTATATTTAGCTCCCTCTAATTCCTTCTAAATTATCTCCAAAAATAGGGCTCTACTTAGTAAGATTTTATTTAGCAACAAACATGAGGGTTAATCTAACTAATTAATACAACTATCTATAGTTCCATAAATTGTTTACCCGTTTAAAGACAAATGAGGGTTAACCCAATCACCCGTACAAGTAACTTGTTTGACTATTTTTAAAATATTAAAACTACTTAATTAATGATAACATAATTAGCCATTAACTACATAATTTTTCAAATAGTTAACTTCAAAAATAAATCAGTTTTAACTCAATTTATTTCATTGGCTTAAAGTCATTACCTTTAATTAACTTCATTATGTTAATTAATTAAATTAAATTCATTAATTAAGATTAATGGATCGCTATTTAGTTAACATTGTGTATGCCTAATATTTAACCAGTTACTTTTATTTAGTTAACTTACTTTTATTAATTAAAGTAGAAAACTATTAATTACATTAATTAATTAGAAAAAATTAATTAAATTAAAAATTATATAATTAAATAATAAGATAATTATATAATTAGCTAACTAAATAAGTTAATATTGTTATAAAAATTATAGGAAGAAAATAATATGAATTAATAAAAATTATTTTAAGAACGTTTTATTAATAGAAGTTTTATTTAAAAATAAATTTAATACATGTTTATTAATAAAACAATAAAAGAGTAAGAAAATTTTAGTTTCAAAATTAAATCTTAAAAAAATTAATGATATTACAAATTTGTTGATAAATTTAAAAAGTTAACAAAATTATCAGTTTTAATCTTAATTATTATTAATTAAAAATCCCCTAATCCATATAAAAACAAGAAAAATTAACACTAAATAAAAATTTAGTAAAAATTAAAACAATTTAATACAAGGTAAAAGCTAATACAATTAGGAATAATTATAATGGGGTGATGAAGATCATTGGACCACTTAATCAAATAGGCTCTGATACCATGTCGAATAAATATTCAACCTATAAAACTTGAGCTGTTAGGTGAGATATCTGATGAATAGATTTTCATTCTCTAACCTGCTTTAGTAGAACTTGGATGGCAATGRAATAGGTGATCGAAACTACTCCATCACCATTAATAACAAACATATACCGAAATTTAGAAATCAAGAGCAACAAATATTTGAGAAGTTTTGAGTGAGGAAAAGGGGGAAAATTAATGTTAGCCATGCAAATGAAGATGACAAATCTAGAGTTGCCATTCAAATGAAGATGACAACCGCTCCTTAAAACCACGAAATATATAATTCCCACCATTTCCACCATCGCTGCCTGAGAAAACTAAAATCATAGGGCTTTCGGCTCTGTTTCACTTGCCATGCGAACGGGAAGCCAGAGACAGCTGCGTTGGTTATTGAATGAATATTACTTTTGTTATTTATTTTTTTTAAGTCACACCAGTGGGGAATTTAATACAAGCTAGCCACTTGCCATTTATCCGTTGAACACTTGCAAACTAGCAGGGGCCCTTGCTTCKTAGGGGCTAATGACAGCCGTGTGAATTAAAAACAATTAGGCCAGATGTGGGATCGGTTGGGTGTACATGGTTGCTCTATCTCTTCTTGAGCACGTATAGAACAAACCTAGTATTTGAGTGATCAGGCAAAGAAGCACATTTTATGATGATGGGGTGGCCGTGAACTCTAGCAGGGGGCCCTGCTTCGCAGGGGCTAATGGAAGCCGTGTGAAATTGAGATAATCAGGCCAGATGTGGGATTAATTTGGTGCACATGATTGTGAGATACAACACCTCTAGCAATATGTTCGAGGAGTGCAACTTGGACAGGCTTGGGTTGATCATTTCTTTGTTAAGAAATGCTCTATAATTTTGTGATTCATTTAGAATATAAGTAGGAATCTTTTGATATATGATTTTGTAGTAGTCGTGGGAGTTGATATATTTTCTTTTTTTCTTTGTTTTATTTTGTGTTTATTATTAGTGTTATAGAAAAGACCCGGGGTATACTTTAGGCATCAACCTAACTCCAAACTAATGAGGAAACATGAATGGAAAAGTGGAACAATAACTTCAAAAAACAGTTCACTCAACCCTTTTGTCCTACTAAGGTCCCTAAACTAAATCAAATAAGCAAGTCTGTGTTTTAATGGAAATATGGAGGACAAAGACAGATCATAGAGGGAGAGGCAGAGAAAGAAAGCAAGGCCCAAACCAAAATGTCTTTGTTTGCATATTCCAAGCCCATCTTCATTTGTATGCGTGTACATTGTCTTATTTTCCTATTTATGCAGGAAAACATTCTCTCCATCTTGCTTGCTCTGTTACACTGATAAATGTTTTCAAAAACTGGATTAGACCACCAAGTTGACCAAAAAAGCAAGAACCAAACAAGCTAGTAGATTGCGCTGGGAACCAGATAGTTTTCCAGTTCAATCTAGTCAGATTTTCAAAATTAAGGGCTCTTCCCAATGACTTGATCACAACTCTCTGTTGGTAGTCATTATGTTTTACGCTTTGAAGTTGTGTTGTGTTTTAGTGAATTGTTATACAGGAGATTTCCGCAAATATCTTTTCTATGCTTTCTCTGATAATTCTCTACCTCCTTTAATATTTTCATAGTTCTAACACAACAATTATTCTTCCTTTTTCCTTTATCTTGGATTTTCTTCTAATTTATTACTGCCAGATTCCCTATTGGTTATTTCCATCTTGGATTTTCTTTGCAATATCAAGTTTCAGACACTCTTCAAAATGCCCCAGAAAATGATACATTTCCACAATTTGCAAGGGAATGAGGAGTTCAATAACCTGTAACTATAACTATCAGAGATCAAGGAATCAAATGACAAGAAATATAACAAACAAAAGCCATCAATAATTAAATATAAAAGATAAACCAATTCCAACTGATGCAAAGAAAAAAAGCAAAAGAAAGAAAGACTACCTTAACAATTGTATAAATTAAGATAAACAACATTAATAGGACTTTAAATATCTACTACGGAAATTTCATTTGTTTACAACATCATACTAGAAAGTGGAAGTGTTGATACGTGCGGAGAGGAAAGGGGAGAAAGAGAACGAGGGGTGTGCGCCATCACATACTATTAGCATACGTGTGGAGTGTCTATACCATTGTGGATATCGTTGCAGTGTGTTCATTGTTTCAGGCTTCTCCTTGCTCTCTCCGGAAAAAACCAAAACCCATCCATCGAAATGGTAGAGTCTACAACCACCCTATCATCATAAAATGTGCTTCTTCGCCTAACCACTCAAATACCAACAAACCCTCATCTCCTTCGACGGTCCTGAAGCACCGCCGCCCCGCCGATGAGAATATCTGCGACGAAGCTCGCCACCACAACTCCACCCACAAACATGGCTTCTTCGCCAAATACATCCCATTCAACGCCAATCCCAGCTCCACTGAATGCATTTGATCTCTTTCAGTGTGCCATTCTAGCAGTTGCTGGTGGAGGCAATGCATCCGTCAAGCTGTGGGACACTGCAACATGGAAACTATTACCGAAAGAAAGGAGAAATAGGAAGAAAGTAGTGGAAGAATGAAGAGAGAGGGATGGAGGGAGAGAGGAAAGGGGAGAAAGAGAGAGGACACTAATATAAAACTGCAAAATGAAAAACAAAGAGAGAGATTTCGTTGCACGTGTGAATACCATTTTCTTAAAGGAGAGGATGCCACTAATCATCCTATCTCATATATATATATATATATATATACCTTACATTATATATATTTTTATTTGTACTCCTTCCAAACTGAGCCCAAATTAAAATTAAAAGAGGAGGGGCTAAGGTAAAGGCAAAATTGAGTTTTTACATAAGTCACTCTGGATACTAATTATTTCCACGAAAGGAGATATTGCCCATGCACAGCTATAATTACGAGGAAATATAAAATGTAGGAACAACTTGTGGATAGAAAATCCGAGCCCTTTTTAAATATGGTTTGGAAGATATAATTTAGAACGCTTTAAATAATTAAGCTTAAACAATATTAATTGTTCCAGCAGGGAATGAGATAGTGTGCTATGAGAGCCCAAATCCAACAGCTGGGATCCACCGTCTTGTGTTTGCACTGTTTAGGCAATTGGGAAGGCAGACAGTGTATGCTCCAGGGTTGCGTCAAAATTTCAACACCAGACTTTACTGAGATTTACAACCTCGGCCTACCAGCTGCTGCTCTCTATTTCAACTGCCAAAGGGAGGGGGGTTGGGGTGGGAGGAGGTAATTAAATAGAATTTCTTAGACACCAAAATCAGAAGATACATTGAGCTCATCCGTGGATGAATGAGGCTTATATTAAGTAAATAAATGTATCAGTAAGCTTTTAGCAGCCTCTTTCATCACACATTCTTCTTTTTTTACTAGTATGTATATTAATTTGATGATGTGATGGAAATCAATCCGGTGTAAAATTTGTAGATAAATAATATAATACTTAGTAGCGTGTGTTAGAATTGACATTGGATCTCCTTCCTCCAAAAATTCTATTCACGCCTATTACAAACACTATCTTTGTGCATTGGGAATATCTCTCCATGTATAATAACACGTAAAGGGATGAGATGTTCTCCATGTGTGACTGTGATGTTATGTGGGTAGATATAGGCAGAGTTATTGTGAATAGGAAATCCAGACTCATTAGAATTGTGTATTTTTTATCAGTTTCTACTATTTTACTCCTTTTTTTTCTTTAACAGAAAAAGCTACTAGGCTCGATTATTTCTAGATCAGTTTGAGACTTGGAAATTCACTCAAAGGTTTCAAAATTACACAGCCAATTACGAAAGCATATTAATAAATGCAAAATCCAAACTATCGATATGAAAAATGGCACCATCAAGACACCTTGCCTAGCTCGATTAGACCTTTTCAAATTAAGCTTCTACCCAACGACGGTGGGAGGCCAATTCTAAGTATGTGTTTGGTTCCATTTATGTTTTTTGAGTAAATGCTGCCACATAGGCACACCATCAGTAAAGGCCTCATTACGTGCCTCTCCCATTTCAGGAAACTTCATTTTGGAACTTCCTGAAATGCGTTTATTGGCACTTTGCTAATGTGGTAACTAATGGCGCCTATATGTCATAAACACCCTCATTAATTGTTTTTCTCGGTTTTACAGTCACATAAGTACAAAACATTTACTCAATAAACATAAATGGAACCAAACACCCTCTAAGTCCATAACCATCAAATTATTTAAATCCACCATCATAACAAATTTGTCTGATACCCTTTCAGCAATTAAAAAATCAACAGCCAAGATTCAACACCGTGTTCATACTTGTCACCATGATCATACTATTGCATCATGTGCCAAAATCAATGAGAATCAACAACAGATTGATTTCCATCCTCAGATCTACCTGATCCACCATTTATCTCACTTAGATATTTTCTAACAATTTAAATAAATTCAACTAATAATACACACACACACCTTAATATGTTGATTGTTGACTACCTGATCTCCATCAGGTTTTAAAGGTTATGTTGACAATATGATTTTCATGTGCTCATTTAAAATCAATTTTATCTTTGTACCTTTTCTTTCTATTAATAAAAACGAAGGCCTTTTATATATATGTGGCTTTCTTATACTTGTGTCAGAATGAAAATGTCCAATAATATTGAAGGGCATTAAGGTGATAATGGAAGATCCAAATAATAATTTAATTAGTTCCTTACAAATAATTTTTTTTTTTTATTTTGCTGTTAATCTGAAACATCCCTTGCAACAAGTGAGCCTGAACAAATCTCTTATACGGTTGGCAGATGAATGATTACCATACGATGTGAATTTATGTAACAAAGACAAGTAATGAAAGCATGGTATAGTAGTGATTTGTATTGCCTCTTGGCCTATAGACCTTCCTTTAAATCTTCCTATTCATTTATATCAATGTTTTTAATTTGCTGTTGAACCTAGTAGTCAAACTGATTGACTAGGCATATAGACAAATTCATGAGCATGTTTCAACCCAAACCACTTAATGTTGACATGCACTGTTAACGCCTAATGACCTAATTAATTGAATCACTAACATGTTTGAATCGGTTAATGCATGGGAATTAGTTAGACATTAATCATCTTTGTGCTTTTTTTTTAAGCCATTTCCATCATTGATAACAATAGTTCTCATGTGTGACACATACTGTTGTTTAATATTATGACAATATAAAGTTACAGATTTGCCAAAATTTTTCTACTATAATTTTTGCAACAATATTGCATTTCTATATATTTTTCAAAATTTGATTTTTTTAATTATAACATGGATCAGCCCATTTGACGCAGACAAATGCACCACTGATTTGCCACTTAGACAAAAAATGGTTTGGATTTTAGTAATTTTTAAATTTTGCATGTATTTTATTTCTAGCATTTATAAAATAACTCTTTCTACAAAGCTTTTGCATTTGTATATGTTTTTTTTTTTTATTTTCTATCATTTGATTATGACAACCTAGGTTCCCATTTAACCTTGATGGTTGAATTACTGACTTGCCCCTAGATGGAAAAAGGCTTTATTTTCCATATGTTTCTTAAAGTTTTAGAATTTTGTGTTATGTGATAAGAATAAAAATTATCATATTTTTGTCCTTAAATATTCAGTTTTTTATACTTAATTAGTACTTAATTGGATTCATTATTCTTGTATTTCGATTCAGGGCATGAAAGAAAGTGTCAGGAGAAAAACAAGGCAAATTGGGTAAATTTTCATAGTTTCGGCGCCGTGTAGTAATCTGGGCATAACTCCCCCATCCGAACTCCGATTGAGATGCTTTAAGATGCATTGGAGAGATAAGAAACAACTATACAACTTTCATGTTTTGAGTTTTGATAGATTCTGACTGCACCACAGTCAAAATCGGGCCCGAAGTCTGAGAAAATTCGCAAGAAGCCCAATTCGCAGAAGCCCAGTTCGCAGAGAAGCCTTGTAGCAGCCCAATTTGTTAAAGAAGCCCAACTCGAATTCGAGATTAAAGAGTCCTATCAGATTTAAATTTCAATTGTAATTCTAGAAAGATAAAAGATTGAGATTACTAGATAGGATAGGATAGGATTAGATCTAACATTGAGGCCCCGCAAGGAGAAAAGAGGAAAAGGAAAGACGAAGAAGCTAGCAGCAGTAAGCATCGGCGAAGGAAGAGTAAGTCACCAAGGAGAAGTAGGTCTCCACAAAAGAAGAGTAAGTCTCCATCTCGGGGTTCTAGGTTAGGTCGGCAATCTAGGACCCCCCAGTTGAAAGGTCTTCCTACACTCCCCTCAACAGGAAGCAAGGTAAGATACTGATGTCAATAAAGGATGCCAGTTACCTCAAGTGGCTACCCAGGATGCGGGGAGATCCAACGACTAGAAACCCAAACATCTACTGTCACTTCCATCGTGACTTCAGGCACACCACTGAGAACTGTTGGAACCTATGCGATGAGATTGAGGAGTTGATCCGCTGTGGCTACTTGAAGCAATACATCCAACGCGATGGTAGGGAGTTGGGAGATCACCAAGCGACTAGAGAAGATGTTCTGGAATCGAGCAGAAGAAATGACCAGCCACCCCGGCAGTAGCAGCAACAGCATATGCCTGAAAATAGACCGATCCGCGGGGTGATCAACATGATCACCAGCGGGTCCATTGTTGCGGGGTGTACAACAATAGTGAGCAAAACTTCAGTTTGGGAGCTTGAACATGAAGCAGAAAACCCACTGAAGAGGCCTCGGATCAAAGAGCCCATCTATTTCACTAAGGATGATGATCACGGGATACGGTACCTGCATGAAGATGCCCTTGTCGTCAAGTTAATCAACGACTTCGAGGTAAATCATATACTGGAGGACTCAGGGAGTTCCGTAGATATCCTTTTTCTAGAATCCTTTGAGAAGTTACAGCTACAACAAAGTGATATGAAGCCAACAGATTCACCTCTGGTAGGATTCATCGGCGAAGTGGTCGGACCCATTGGACGAATCACAGTTCCAGTTGCAGCAGGAATGTGGCCCAACCTAGTGTGCTTCGAGCACACCTTCCTTGTGGTGGTGACTTTGTCCCCCTACAATGCGATTTTAGGTCGGCCCATTCTGCACGCCCTTCGTGTAGTCGTGTCCACCTACTATCTGGCGATGAAGTTTCTGATAGATTACGGAGTAGGGGTTGTATGAGGTGACTAGTTGTAATCACGTAAGTACTACGTGGTGGTTCTAAAGGGCAAGGCGAAGTTGGTAGACGATGTCGAACTAGAGCCTCCATCCAAGCATTCAGAGGAGCGAGCTGTCCCGATGGAGGAGACAGTCCCTGTACCAGTTTCTGAAGCTGAGCTGATGAAGACACTCTAGATCGGCACTCTACTAAGCGAACCACTTCGGTCACAACTAGTAAGTTTCTTACTCAATAACTTAGATGTTTTTGCTTGGTCCGCGGCAGAAATGCCCAGCATTGACCCTAGCGTAATTACTCACAATCTTAATGTGGACCCTTTAGTTAGGCCAGTTAGACAAAGAAAACAAAACCTCGCCCCAGAGCGGTGGAGGGTAGTTGACAAGRAGGTCGGGAAGCTCCTCACAGAAGACTTCGTTAAGGAGGTCCAATACCCAAGCTGGGTGGCCAATCTCATGCTGGTAAAGAAGGCCAACGGAAAGTGGTGCATGTGCGTCGACTACACTGACCTCAATAGAGCCTG